TGTTATAAAAATAGCACATTTTTTTATTTTTAGAAACTTAGAGCATACAGATAGAAGGAAGGTATAAAAATCATGTGTAACACCACAACTCTGAAGGTTACTCTTAATATTTTGATCTTTGCAGTCTTTATCCTGTGTGTGTACGTTTTACTCTGCATACTCTTGTACCTTATTTTAAGTTTAACGTGTCACAACTACCCATGTCATTAATTTTTTTCTTTTTGAGGGAGCAAGTGCAGGGACGGGGGCAGGCAGAAAGAGAGGGAGAAAGAGAATCCCAAGCAGACTCCATGCCTAGTGCGGAGCCCCACTCAGACCTCAGTCCCACAACCCCAAGATCATGACCTGAGCAGAAACCAAGAGTCAGATGCTTAACTGACTGAGCCACCCAGGTGCCCCGTGTTAAACATTCTTTAAAACTCATTTTAGTGTCTTTATAGTCATTCATCATTTATAAAATTTTAAATCATTGGCATTGCTTCATTAGTCTTATTGGAGTCTTAAATGGTTATTGCTACACTGGTGGTTTTGGCAACTGAGAGAGAAGGGAGGGAGAGGATGAGTAGCTCGAATGGGGGCGGAGTGTATTTGCCCCTTAAATTTTGAAAAGCAAAGTATGCGCAAAGGATGAATGCCATGACAGTTTCACTAAAGTCCCTCAAGGTCTCCAATACCTATTTAATATATACATATATTTTTAAATGGTTGATACTTGCTCTCCTGAAGACTTCCTATTTCTCAAAGTTGAAGCTGTATGACTTATTTCCAGCTTGCTTGCACTCAGAAATATGCCTTTTTTTCCCTTTTATTAAGGAAGATACCAGATTGACAAAAATAATTAAAGCATAGTGTTTTTATGAGTGCAAGGGAAATGGGCATTTTGATGTATGGCTATTTTATACCCTTTCCTGGGGAAGTATTTTTTTTTTAAGGTTTTATTTATTTATTTGGCAGAGAGAAACACAGCGAGAGAGAGAGCACAAGCAGGGGGAGCGGGAGAGGGAGAAGCAGGCTTCCCGCTGAGCAGGAAGCCTGATGCGGGGCTCGATCCCAGGATCCCGGGATCATGACCTGAGCCAAAGGCAGATGCTTAATGACTGAGCCACCCAGGCACCCCTGGGGAATTTAGAGATGGAAATACTATATCCATTCCTAGTGGAATGGTGAGATTATGGTAAAGCTGCACACATGTATTTGAAGGAGCCATTAGAAAATTATTAAGTACATGTCTGATGTCATGGAAAGGCATTTCACAATGTATTGAGTGAGTAGGGGAAAAAGGCAATAATTTAACAATAGGCATAGCATCATCTTCTTAAAATATATTATTTATATAGGTACACAGGGATAAACTTTAGAAGGATATGCTCCAAAGTATCTTAGTGGTGGTATTCCAAATGATTTTTTTTCTTTAATTTTTGCTATTGAACATTTTCTGGGTCTTTTCCTACGAGGAAGTATTAAATGGGGTACGTATTTTAAATGAAAAGGGCACGCACACCTTTTAAAGACAAGACAGCAGGCACGTTTTTGTGACATTTCCACTGGCACTGAATTTCCAGAAAAGCACAGAGATCATGGGCATTTGATTCCTTCACTGTGTGTGGGGAGCGATATAGAAATAGCATTAGACGAACAGATAGATGGATAGTAATTGCAGGTTCTGGATCATATCCCTCCAGACTGGAGCCTCCATCAAAAACTGAAAGTGATGTTTTGATAATACAAAAATGGTACCCAGAGACAGGAATGTCCTTTCCTGACCAGCAGGTGCAGAGCAGATGACCAAAGGGAGGAGACAGAAGGAGAGAGGGAGGGGAGAGTCAATCTTGAGTGGGGAGGGAACTTGCTGGCACAGATAGGGAGATTTGATCTCCCACCGTCTGCAAGAGCTGCTCTGACACTTGAGACAGAAGGTGACATTGAGATTTACAAGGGTTGGACAGGTGTGCAAAAACTAGCCAATGTATTCTTATCCAGGGGTTACAAACCTTTTTTGGCCCTTTACCTTTCTCTAAAAACCAGCTGGAAAAAAATTGGGAAAAAAGAATTTTCAAAAAAAGGAAAATTCTAACTAGATAATCAGAGGGGATTTTATTTTTAAGAGTTAAAATGTTTGGCATCAGGGGCACCTGGGTGGCTCAGTCATTAAGGGTCTGCCTTCGGCTCAGGTCATGATCCTGGGGTCCTGGGATCGAGCCCTGCAATGGGCTCCCTGCTCAGCAGGAAGCCTGCTTCTCCCTCTCCCACTCCCCCTGTTTGTGTTCCCTCTCTCGCGCTCTCTCTGTCAAACAAATAAATAAAAATCTTAAAAAAAAGAAAAATACAAATAAAATGTTTGGCATCAGATGAAAGACAGCTATTTGTCTCCCCAATTTCTGGCCACTTTGAGAGCATCTGTGATAACTTCAGTAGGACTTTTGCTCCCCCTCCCTTTCTCTTTAATGCTCCTGTGATTCCAGTAAAACTGATCTGTCTCAAGTTACCCATGATTTTCTGGTAACTGAGTCTACTGATTCTTCCTCCTATTTCCCCTGCTCACGTCCCATACCTCCTCATCACGGTTAAAACTTTCTCCGTCTCTATCACCTATCTTTGATGGTTTGCTGGTTCTGCTGCTCTTTTGTTTTGCTACTCCCCCAGTTCATCCTGCATGGTTAATTTTCCCACCCACCACTCTGGATGCCTAGACAGAAAGTCCAAGCACTTTGGCCCTTGTATTCCGCATCCCACTTTACATTTCTCGACTTGCCTCCCACTGCTACCCCCCAGCATGCTGCTCTTTTGTGGTTGCTCAGTTCACTTTCTGTCCCCAACCAAGCATTTGCATTTCCCAAGGTTCCATTCATTCATCCTGCCACCAGTTGAAGGCCTGCCATTAGCAAGGCATGAAGCCGAGGCCTCGGAGGAATAGACATCCACAGCACATGAAGGTCATACCACATGGGGGATGTCACAGACCACAAGTTCAAAAATCCTCTCCCCACAGCTTTCTAGTTATTTGACCTTATGCAAATTACTTAATCTCTTGGTTCCTCAATTTTCTAATGTGTAATTGGACATAATTCACCTCTTAGGTGAGTTATTATAATAATTAAATGTTACACAGTGCCTAGCAGATTCCCAGGCAAAATAGTAAGTACTCAAAAATTGGTAGTTCCCTTCCTAACCCCACCTCAATTTTTCCAAAAACTTACAGTTTTCTAGCAGATACGATGTTTTAAGTGACCTGAGTAGTATAAGCCAGAACATGGGGAGTTCAGAGAAGACAGAGCACAGAAAACACTAATAGGCTGATCATATCTAGAAGACTAGGTAAGAGTTTCCTACGAGAGTGAATAATATAACTAAATGTACAAACATGGGAAAAGACCAAGAAAGGAAAGCCCCCACCTCCTTTGGGTCTTTACTCAAAGTCCCCAACTTGATGGAGCCTTCCTTGCCACCCCACTTCACATTGCATCCCACACAATGCCCATCCTTCCCTATACCCCTACTCTGATTTGCTTTCCCATTTCACTCACCGCCATGTCATGTATTTATTTAGTCTGTGGTCTGTGTCTTCAAAAGAATGTAAACTCCACGGGGGCAGGGGTGTGTGGGGTGTATGTGTATATTTCTTCACTGCTGCATTCCCATTACCTAGTGGAATGTACACCAGTGAGTATGTTCAGCTCTCTGGCTTGGGGTTATAGGACATGGAAGTTCTGGCTGATAGAACTAGAAAATCTGGTTGGAAATCATGAAAGCCACTAAATAGCAGGGGTTTAGGTTTTTAAATTTACTGAGTTGAAATTCCTTATCTTAGTTTTTTTTTTTTTTTTTTTTTTAAACAGGAAGGGTGAGCTATAGTAAAAAATGACATCGGTTGAAGATTGACAGAGAGACAGAGGAAGACAAGATAAGAATCTATTTTGGTGGTCTAGGAACTAACTGAAGAAAGCCTATACTAAGCGATAGTTAGAGAAGTGAATACGAAGGGACAGCAGACATTCCAGCAGAGTTACCTAAACCTGACTCTTAAAACATTAATAAAGGACAGGAGAAATAGAGTCATGGAACGGAACACTGGGCAGCCATCCAAGAAATTGAGGAAATGCATATATTTTAAATGTATTTATAAGCACCAATAATTGCAAAGAGTACATATAGTGTGATTCTACTTGTAGAGATATGTACATAAATACATGTATGTTAATACATTAAATTTATCTGACAAATAGATACCAGACTATTAACACGTGCAGAATGGCATTAAGGAAGGTACCCACTGGTCTTTAGTATTATGTCACATAATTCTATGCCGTTTGGTTACTTTTCTATAAGCATGTATTTTATATTAAAGTGTCTTTAAATAATTTAACTCATTTTAAATACATCTCATAAAAGAAATGTCAGGAGTATACTTCTAATCATCACAATTATTTTAAATCTATCACAGTTTGCATTTTGACTAAAAACCTGATAAGGTGACCCTTAATTCAAAAACCGTAATGAAGCAAATGAATTTGGGAAAGCATGATCCAAAATCAGAGACCTTCTTATTCAAGAATGAAGCCACTATTTTGTTCTAATTTATCAGAGTCAGAAAGCATCTCCTAATTAATGAGTAATGAAGTCATTAATAATCCACACAATGTAATCTCCTGGGAAAGGGTTAAAGTTTAAAATCATGAATGCTTTGCACACAGACACACACACACATTTATTTCATAGTTTATAAGCCATTTAAAAATATGGTTGTGATGACCAAAGTGATAAAAATGAAACTAATAGTAAATCTGGCATTAAAACCATATTGCTTTGAAGAAAGCTTTTTATAGAAGATCTTTCTTTAAGTAGTTGTATGAAAAATAACAGTTCAAGTAAAAATGGTCTGAACCATTCCCTATTTCAGCATAAGACTTCGTATGTGATTATTTAAAAATGAGAAATATTACTCCTTGAAGCAGTTATAGATACTACTCAGATCTTAAATTTATCATTTTTCACTCACTCAGGTGCCAGTTCGACAGATTCCGAGAGTGAAAATTTAGCTTTCAAATCAAACCCTGGAGCCATGCCACAGTAAGTGCCTACGATCCCATCAATTATCTGTACAACAAAGAATGTGGACAGAATCACTGGGGTAAGAAGCAGTGCGCCTTGTGCTGCGAAGGAAGAGGTCAGCTGATGTCAGTCAAAGATCCAATATTTGAATGTGGAACGCAATTTCTAACTTAGGAATTTAGACTTTGAAGTCTGTACTTCATCATTGAGATGCCAAAATCACACCGTAGACAATCTTAAGTTTCAAGGACAACTAACTGGTTATAAATATATGAAAACAACAGCAACATTGAGAGGAAATTAGTTAAATCATTACCAAAATGTAAATGAGGACGAATCTATTTATACAAATTGGAAAGTGTGCAATTAGCCCAGAAATACTTGAATAAAGACTACTACTAGTTAGATCTTATCATGAAAATTGTAAAATTTAGTTCTTTTTACAAAGACAAATGGATTATTTTCCAAAATAATTATTATGTAAATTGATGATAATAATTAAATTTTTGCAAAAATAAAATTAAACCTACCAGAATTTTGTAGAAAACTCCATTAGTGTTGAGACTGTGCTAATAAATTCCTTTGATCTGCTAGCAGATACATAACAATTATATCTATTCAGCATCAAATAATCCCTGAGTATTAATGCTAAAGGAACCTTGTGAGATCATATACTCTGCCACTCCTGATTTCAGATAAGGATCTTAAGTTTCGTGAAGTTACTGGACTCGCTTGAGATTGCACAGCCAGCCTCTTAGCAAAATTGGGCCTAGAAACCAACTCTTCTTAACCTTTTTCTACACCTCACTAACTTTTATGCAGTAAGAAAAGACAAAAATGCCAAGACATTCTCAACAAAATTAGAAACCAGAACAAAGAACAGCTGCTAAACTTAAAATAGACCACTAAAACTTTGAATTAAATACAGAACCCTAACCCTAAAGATTTCAAGTATCTGCTTATTGCTACAGATTGGGCCTTTTCCAGATATTTTCTTTTCTCTTAGGATTTCCAAGTTCAGTACTTTAGGTTCTCTGATAATAACTGAGTTATATATAGTTATTTTTCTTTTACCCGTGTGTTTATTTTGCTAATATCTGTAAGATCTATTCTATGCATATGTTGACCACAGCTATTCTAACTGTAGATTATGGCTTCCCATTTCTGAAGCACTTACAGTTGAAGTGGATTGAGTGCACAGAAAGAAACTGAGCTCTTGTGGGGAAATCTTTCAAAGAGCAATTCCTGCTTTAAAAAAATTGATGGAACACACTTGCCTCCTTATTTTCCAGAGCTCAAAAGAAAACAACTTCTGTCTCCTTGACAATAGGATCCTCATCTCCAAAGACAGGAGTGACCACAGCTGTGATTCAACCATTGTCTGTCCCTGTTCAACAGGTAAGTGTGCCTTGGACCAGAGACCATAGTGAGTCAAACTCATTAGCAAACTTCTTGGTTTAAAGATTACAGCTTTGATTCCAGCTAGTACACTCCCTGTAGTATTTTTTAAGTGGAAACACAACTGGGAGGAAAGAAAATAATAGGTAAAGTCCTCCCTTTCAACCCACTAAAAATCATCTTTTATCAAAAACACATCACCAATTAGTCAACGTCTGCATTTCCATTAGGAATGTCTCTAACAGCCCATAACCTGATAAAGTGGTATCCCTTTTAGCTATGACTATTTGATTTTTCTTCCACCTATATGTCCTCTTCTGTTTAGCCAAATTTATTAGCTCATTTAAAACAAATTAGAAGCAAGAAAAGTCCACATACCAACAAAAGTTCTTCTAAGAGATAAACAGATAATTTAAAAAAATTCCAATTCCTTGACTTAACCAAGCATTTTTATCCTGCCTTTTTTTCATTATAAGACTGCTCTATCCAAGAAAGAACAACAATACACACTACTGGAAAATAATATTGAGTTTACTTTGTAAACATAACAGGAAATTTTTTTTAAAAACAGTAAAAATATAATTAGAATCTGTTTTAATCAGATGTATGTTACTTTGCCTTTGTGCTATGATGTGTATATTTAAATAAGACACTCACAAAAGGCTTCCCCACCCTTGCCCTTGAAATGTAAATGAATTCCTAACTAGTCTGTTTTGTGAGCATCACCAGGCCCTCCATCTATTGAGCACTCAGGTGTTTTAGTAATTGTAGTATGTGACATATACTCTTAGATATGTGGAATATGGAAACAGTAAAGACATTTGAGTTTATAAACTTGAACCAACCAGTATAATTCATTCAAAGATAGCATAGATATTTCCTGTAAACCCCTAAACCAGAGTGGAACTTCTAAAAATATTTCTGATTAAATCAGTGGATTTTTTTTGTTTAATATTTAAGTATTGATGAGTGATGAATGCTTATTGGCACCATGCTAGGAATTTCATTGGAAAAAAATACATCACCAGCTTCATTCCCAAACACTTTATAGAACTATGCATGGGAAACAGGAAATATACACATGAAACATTTCTTGAATGTGGCAGAATGTGTTAAAGGGTAACACAAAAGCCTAAGAGCAGAAAATATTTAAATATGTAAGCACCATAATAATGTAAATGGTACATTTTAAATGGTTTAAATTCTCCAGGAACACTAAATGGAAGGTCATATATTCCAGTTGTATAGGAGGATGAGGGGCTCACAGAAGCTCCATTGCTTTATTATTTTAAGCAACATCACATAAAGTTGAACACCCGGGAGACTGATTGCCTGGGTGCAAATCCTAGGTCTACCACTTGATGTAACCTCTCTATGCCTGGTCTCTTCATCATAAAATGAAGATAATACCATCTATCTCACAGGACTATCCTGATGATTCAGTGAATGAGTGAATCTCCCTATAACACTTACAACAGTGCCTGGCACAGACTAAATACTATATAAGTGTTCAAATAGTCTTTGGACATATAAAGACAACAAAAAGTGAAACCCAGTCTGAAGCACAAGCCAATGAAAAGTCTTACAAGGATAATGAATAAGGCCCTTTACTATCCTAGCATCTCTACAGCTCTGCCAACATTCTCGATGATAACTTGTGACATATTTAGACACATGGTATCAGATCACCATCGTCTGGGGTTAAGAAGCTAACAGTTGCTTACATAGAAGGGAATAAATCCAAAGTGTTTGAAGATAAATGATTGGAGAAAGAGACATATTTTCCATTCACTACTCTGGAATCTTTATATTTCCCCAGAGACGAGTGCCATTCAGTAAGTATTTTAGCACCTTTGTTTTTTGCACATTAAGAAAAAAACAATATATTCCTTTTTAACTTGTTTCCTGTGATCCCTTACACAAAAAAGAGTGCAGGCTAAACATAAGGTAGATGGTTGATAATTTACCCTCCACTGCCAGCCACTTGTGCTTTTAATTCCATGAATCCAGACTGTATTTAAAAATAAAATATAATGTCTGTGAGAACTTTTGAAAAGACCCCTGTGGAAGTCCCACACACAGAAATCCATTTGGTAATAGCATTTACAAGCTCATGGATCCCCAAGGAACCAGGGAACTTTTACCTTGAATATCCTTTTGAATAGAGAAGTGTAACAGCTGTGAAAGGAGGACGTGGAACAATGTCTGTACTGTATGTGAGCCTAGACCAGCAAAATGACACATGGCGCTATTTGCGTTCCCTCGTTCCATTCATGGGGAGTGACCCCAATAATGAAAGTTTTCTTTAGCCTGTCTTTTCAACAGTTTCTATATTCAGAATTTGATCCATGCGTCTCTGCGTTTTCAGGTCCACAGTCCAACCTCGTATCTCTGCCGACCTGATGGAGCTGCTCCTGCCTACTTTCCTCCTATTTTTACAAAGGTCTGATATCTGCAAGTCTCGTTCTCTGTGTTTGCTTTGGTCCTTAAGTTCCCTTCACATGGGGCTTCATGTAGCAGTCTTTAAAAATTAAAATGAGCAGATCCGCAGGCTCTCGTGGTTACCTCTGGGGCTAAATAGGTATTTACGGAACAACTGTTGTGTGAGTATCATCCTGTCAAGGGTCTGAATGATGTGGGCGTGGTCAGTGACCTGATAGAGCTTACAGTAGAGTGGGGAAAACCAAGACAGGTAGAAAAAAATGAGAGAAAGAGCTGTGTAGGAAATTGCTTGGGAGAACCAGCATGTTTTAGAGAGAGAGAAAAAAAAAGGACTAACATTCAGTTTGTTCTCCAAGTTTGTGTTTTGCATTGCCAAACTGAATGACATCCATTTCAGTAGTCAACTGCTCAACTCAGAAATGGCTCTAGGTGGCATTTTTTTTTTTTTTTTGAGAAAATTACAAACCTTGATTGAAAGACACCTAAAAAGTGGATGTCTTTCCCAAATAAGTGGAGAGAGATTCCACGTCTGTGGACTGAAAAATGATTAAAGTCATGACTCCCAGATTAATGTATAAATTTAATACAGATCTAGCTGAAATTCCAAAGGGTTCTTTGTTTTATTTGTTTGATGTAGAACTTGGCAATTTGATTCTAAGAAAAAAACGTCTAAAAATAGCCAGGGTACTCCTGAAGTAGGAAAATCGGATGCTGGTAAGGAAGGCACAGGATTTGTCCTCAGAGATGTCAAGACTTTGTAAAGGTAGAGTAGTTAGGATAGTATGGTGCTGAACAAGACTAGACAAATTGGGAGGTGATCAGAGCCCACAGACACTCCAATATCTACAGAAACCTATAGATCGCTGGGTAAAGAATGACTTCTTCAGTAGAGATAAAAAAATATTAAATTGGACTCCTACCTCACACTTTTTACAAGAATCTAGGCCAAGTAAACAAAAGACATATGTGAAAAAGCAAATCCATAAAACTTGTGCAAGGCAGTAGGGAAGAGCATCTTGCTTGTCTTCTTGTAGGGAATGATTTTTTTCCTTCCAAGCCAGCCTGGATCCAGGCTTTATTAAAGGTCTTTTTGTAAGCAGGATATTTAGTGTAAGACACTGGCAACAAATGATTATATTTGACAACAACTTTGAAAGTACCAAAAAAACAAAACAAAAAAACCTGACCACTGAAAGCAATGCCACTGTAATCATCCATAAAGTTGTCCTTTCATGCTGAGAATAGCAGATGTTCCCACGGTGTGGGTAGTTCAGCTGCTATGTGGTTTTAGAGCTTTTCAAAAGCAGCTTCACCAGATCATCACCAGGAAGTCTGTGTTCCCTGATGTTGTTTTTTGGGGTCCCAGTGCATCTCTTGATTTAAGCAAATAGAGAGGATGTGAGATTTTGCTTTCCCTCCCTACAGGGCTGCCCCACCATGGCCTGGCATAGTGTGATGGTACGGAACTCCTCCTGGGCACCAAGAGAAAGCCTCAAAAGCTAGACAAAAAACCTTGTTCCTCCATTGCATTCCAGCTCCTGAGGCATTGACATTATATTAGTGGTATATCCACTCCCCCAGAAGAAAACCGGGAAACATACTCTATGCTAACCACACAGCTTAGTAAAAAGAAAAGTGAAACATAAGTCTGTATTTTTATAAAGGTTGATTTAAAAAAAAATCACAAAACTGTAGAGTGAGTGGCAGCATGGAGCATACCTCATTGGGCATCTCCAGTGCCTTCTACCTTCTGTGTCTAGACCGTAGACCGTTTCTGTTCTCTGCAGAATTGCTTCCTTCCTTCCTGGCATTTGCTTTCCCCTTTGTCCCTTTGGGCATCTTCTCTCCCTGCTTCGCTGGCTCCTTTTGGGCCCGGGCTTTGGTTTTGGAGGGGCAGGTTTAGAAGATAAATCTGCTCATCTCCTTTGTAACTCAAAGTAGCCTCCCCTTTGCCACCCTTAGCATCTTTTTTTGGTCATTTTCTTGGGCGTGATGGTGACAGTGAATGTGAGGTGGGCTTTGCCGGTCTAGTAGGCGCCCCATCTGTTTCCTCATACTGCTGTGATAAGGATTTCCAGGTGTCACAGCTGCTCAGAGGCAGAGGCCGTGCTCCTGCCTGCAGGCCACCAGGCTTAGCTGGGACAGCAGAGCTGGTTTGGGACTATGGGACTGGGGACAGTAGAGACTCATGGGAGACAAGAGAGCAACTAGCCTTATGTTGCATTTCTTTCTAAATAGTTCGGCCCCTTCAAGGAATCACAGTATCAGGTGGGTTTGATATATGACAGGAGATACCCTTATGTGGACCCTGAAACACTCAGGGGTCCCCATTTCTACCCTGAGTGGATGATGTAGATTGCCATGTGCAACCTCTAAAGGCTGGCTCTGAGTCTCCTTCAGGGCTCCCCCTTGTGTCGCTGAAGATTCTCCTAATGGCTCACTCCGCTTAGCTGTGGCTTTTCTCAAGATGACAAAGTTTGCTCCAGGTAGAGTGGTATTGTAATCCTGGAATAACTCTGTGGAGTTTTGACTGCTTCGGGTCCTTGGCGTCTACCCGTTTTCTCTATCTCTGACTTTCCAATGTTTGAACAAAACACACAATCCTAGGAAGAAATCAGAGTCTCCTCTGGTGCCCGAAAGCTCAGTCATGAAAAATATTTGTGTACCATTTGAAATCTACCATGAGCAACTTCCTGGACAAGCCAGGAAGTGTTTAATAATTAATCCACACAACCTGGGCCCTGTTAGCAACACTTTTCCTGCTGTGATCCCATAAATTAGCTCTTTTCTGGACCCAGTCACAAAGTAAAAAAAAGTCAATTTAAAACCAGAGATTTCCTATATTTAAAAATAAGGAGACAGAATGCAATCAGAAGTAGTTAATAATCTTAACCTTTTCACTAAAAAAAAAAAAGCATTCTTGTTAACCACCCAGATTATTATCACATGCCTTCTCAGACTTAACATTAGCCTTTTTTTATAGTTCTTCTGCCAACAGCGTCGACTCTGAGAATTTCCTTAGGGCTCTACCACACTCACTGCAGCCCATTTGCTGCAACATTTGTTTTTTCCCAGCACACCATTTGTTGTCCCTTCAGATAATCTTAAATAAACAAACAAAACCAGAAAAGACCACACCCTTCTTAATGGGGATTTGTTTGCTTTTGGTTGACGTGTAGGTGAATTACTGTCATATCTGAATTATTTTAAGAGCTCTACATCACCTATGTAAGATCTCATACTCTCAAGTCAGCAGTTGCAAAAGTCAAAAAGTTGAAGTAGGCCCCATTGCTAAGTAATCCTGGAGGAGGAAGGCAGGGGGAGGACATCTGTGAGGGGACTATTAATCCTTTGATATTTAATAACAAGTATAAAAGCTTTACCTCTTTGCATCTGTGCAGCCAAATTAATTTCTAATCTGTTGCACTGTAAAAATTTACTGGCCTGGACTTGGAGTGGGGTTAGGGGCAACAAGCGTAATTGCAAGGGAAGAGGAAATAAGGGTCATGAACGGAGAAGTACTGCAGGTTTTATTATTTTACTCAGAACTCCAAAATAAGAAAATCCCCAAGCCCCTTATCTTAATAAACCTGACATAGGAAGCTCCAGAGATGGTGGTGGTGGGGGGGGAGTACATGAAAAGGTTGGGGCATGTAAAAACAAATTATGCCTTTTTTCTCTTCTTGTCTGGTTTTCCCAGGAATCTACATTCATATGGAATATAATTGTTTTAGGAAGTCTGCATTCCACCAGCTAACTCTTCAGTGTAGATAGAGAAAGGTAACAGGCATTGCCATAAAATTCCATAAATATGAAAGTGTCAATAAATTTGCAGACAGACCCAAAATGTCCACGGCCCCAGTGGTAGACCTTACTAATCTCATTACACGGAGATTATAGAAAGCTAATGATTGATGGATTTCAAGGTGCCTACTTTTACCTGAGTTAGTGGTAATTATTTTATAATGCAAGTTTTATATATTTCTCCCCTCTAAGATTTGGAAGCTTTATTTTCTGTTTTGAAATTGTGTAAGAGTGCACCAAAGTCTTATGGGGAGTGTCTTCCTTGAATTTTTAGGAACTGCAAAACATAGCAGCATCTGAGGGTCAGGTGGTGGTTCTGGAGTGCCGGGTCCGAGGAGCACCCCCTTTGCAGGTCAAGTGGTTCCGACAAGGGAGTGAAATTCAAGACTCTCCAGATTTCAGAATTCTACAGAAAAGTAAGGAGAGGTGCCCATTCTCCCACATCCGTCCATTTTCTTCTCTCAAGCTTCTTGGAAAATCAAGAAGTGTTTAGTCATTCAAGATGAATTGATTTTCGAAGAGTAGTGAGGCCAGATAATCTGCAGATATGCGGGGTCCAGTAAATTAAAGTCGTGGTGGTCACTGTGTACCCCTTTGAAAGTCTAATAAAAGTTGTATGTTCTTCAGAAAAAATGTTACATACATTTGAACTCAAAGTTGGCCAAATAATTTTAGGAGGTTTACAAGCCTCCTATAAGCCCTTCTATGAACTGTGGTTTAAAAAACTTCCTAGTGTAAACTGTTACTGGAATTTGGGTTTCTGTATTTATAGAAATATAAATAGACCTATTATCACTTTATCTTTACTATTATGGAGTTCCCTATATCCTACAGACATGTCCTGGACAAAGTAATAGAGAAAGATAGGTAGGTTTCTTATTAACGGAACCCCGTTCTAATACTATGTTTTGATTTTTTTTTTTTTCCTCGTGTGACAAACAGAACCTAGATCTACAGCTGAACCTGGTAAGAAGCTCTTTTTTCTTTGGTAATGTATCTTTTGGGTTTCAATAGTTCTTTGTTTCAGTTTTAAAGCCATAAGCAGAACAATGTTTTTGCAGTTCCCTGGAAATACGAAACCCCCTTAAAGACAATATCTTCTTTATCATGGGGTCTGTACACTGCATTTTTACATCAGCTTCTTTATTAGTAAAACATTAAGTTCCATTCAGACAAGAAGGTGAAGCTCAGTGACTTACGGCTTTTTTAAATATAGTCTTTTATATTCAGAAAGCAAACTAAGCTCATGATGAAAAAACGTCCGCCTAAAATTCCAGTAGAAAAGAACCATCTGCTGCATACTTCTATGGACCAAAACCTACTAATGGCTCGACCCTCCAGCTTAGAACTGTCTCACATGAGAGCAGCCCAAAGATGTAAGCAAAGCTGACCACCGGCATTTCTCATTTATGTCCCCTGAGCCGTAAACTTTTACTGTTCTACAAGCATGAAGAAAGTCATCTTGCCCTAGGACCTCTCTTAATTACCGGGTCATTTGACCTCATCAGAGTGCTGTGTTATCCAGAAGCGCCAGGTCCGACTGTTTCCCTGCTCCAGACTTCTTGTATATTTATGACTCCCCATGAACTACAACAATGTTTGCAAAAGAAACGAAAATTTTTGTCTGTGCATTTCATAGGACACCCTCCTTGAGACTACTTTCTTTTGTTTCTCCCATCAGCAAAATTACCAGTTTTGCTGACTCCTTGGCTAACGGTAGAAAAACTGATTTGTGCCTCTGCCTCAGGGTCGAGCAGACTCTGCCATTATGTCCCTTAGGAGCCAAGGCTTTGCTCTGTCCGTTCTTGGGGAACTTGAAGGTTCTCTATGGGCTACTGCAGGTCAGATAACTGTGGTTTGTCCTGAACCTTTCACAGCTGAGCACTGGGCCATTAAAAGTAGGGTGTGATCCTTTTAGGATCCCAAGGTTAAAAGATGCTGAGTAGCATTCTCAGAGAACAATGGGGATTGATCTGCTGCCTTCTTGTCATGATTACAGCTAGAACATGTTGTCCCACCTAATGTGTCAGTCACCACATTGAATACTGTAGTCACTTTTCAAAATGTGGAAATGCACAACTGCATATTTTGTCTGTGATAGGTCTTCATATAAAATTGCATCATGCTGGTTCCCTGATACATGGAACTTCTGAAACTCAGTCTACTGCATGAGCTAAGATGTTAGGGCACATCTTTTGGGTTTACTGTTCTAAATAGACTTATCGATAGATATAAAAGTAGGAGCCAGATACCTCTTTTTCTACAGAAAAGTTTATGTGAAAAACTTATAGGCGGTTTATGCCTTTCGATACTTTATGTACAAATAAAACTAACATTTTGGGCCACAAATTCTAAAAGCATTACTACTGGAATAGATTAGGACTGCTTTTGATGTTGTGTTTTGGATTCTGTGCAAATTTATGCAACTCTTTTTCATCGTGTCATTGCCATCGTCATCCCCTACAGGGGTGACGATGATTTATGAAATATCTCTGATGATCTCTGTTGGAAAATCCTAAACTAACCATCATCCAAAAATTCACAACACTGGTTAGAAGCTGCATAGTTTAGTTTCTGAGTATGTACATGTTTGAAAATTGAAACGCTCAGTATATTGGCCCAGAAGGAATAAATTTGGGTGGGGACGGAGAATAGAAACATCTACCACCCCCCTCTTCCATCCTCTTGCTCTTTACCCCTCATACCACACACTCTTTTTCAATTATGATTTGCTGTTTTGCTTCTAGAATATAGTTTTGATCAGGATTACTTAGTAAAATTAGTTCTAGGCAGCTTCCTGGAATAAAATGACCTCTAGAATGATTTTTAACAGGCAAAGTCATGAAGAAAAGAGCAAGATATGGGAGGCCTTCCTTTTAAGCTGCATATCCTAGCAATATAAAAGTTTCTCCTCCCCGTGTTCGCTGAGTTTTCTTATTTTTTTTCTCCTTCATTTCGATCTGAAAGCATTTAATAAAACAGTCTCCTCCATTCCAACTATAATAGAATTTGCTGAAAACAAATATTTCTTGGTACAGAACTATGTCAACCAAATCTGTCAATATAGGGGGAAAAAAACCTTGTAGATGGGCAGGAGCTATTAAAAATAAAACATGGGGGCGCCTGGGTGGCTCAGTCGTTAAGCGCCTGCCTTTGGCTCAGGTCATGATCCCAGGATCCTGGGATTGAGTCCCACATCAGGCTCCCTGCTCAGCGGGGAGCCTGCTTCTCCCTCTCCCACTCCCCCGCTTGTGTTCCCTCTCTCGCTGTGTCTCTGTCAAATAAATAAATAAATAAATAATCTTAAAAAAAAAAATGGCTAGTTTTCTCTGATCTTTGATAATTTCTCCATAATTATATTTACTATAGTACTGGAATTGTTCCCTGGTTTTTTTAAATAGAGCATCAAAATTGTCTCGGAAATCTACAGTTGGTGTGTAGTGTTAAATAAAATTCTTGATCGTATTTCTTTTTAAAACAAAACTTTAAACACATGAATGGCTATTCCAGTGACTGCTCATGTGAGCTGTTATGAGTGAGAACTTCAGAACAAGCAAATGTTAAAACATATTTGTATTTAAACAATGTTTTGGCATGCTTGATTATTATTAGACTAGGTATGATGATGATTCTTTTATTAGTAGCCGGATGTTTTCCTTACATTGACCTTGAAGTTGACTGTTGACATGGTTGGGGGAAAAAACAAAATATATATTGAACTGTGTACTTTCCTTAAATGACCTGATTGACTTTTTTATCCATTAGGCCATTGAACTTATTCAGCCATATAAAATGGATGTAAGAACTGGCTTCCCAGATAGCTGTTTTTTTTAGCCACTGTTAAGTGGAAAGAAGAAAAACAGGCATGACTATAATACATCTGAGGAAAGAGATAAATTTTATAGGACTAGGCCAAGTGATGTTTTCCAAATGCTAAAACATAAATAGCCTTTGAAATTCAGGAATGTATTTAAGCATTCGGATTTTATTACCCTCTTCCTACTCTCTTCCAGTCCTCTGACACATTTACTCTTGTTCTCTCCTCACTGTCTGGTGCTCCCTCGCTTCTCTCCTCCTCCCCCTCTTCCTCTCTCTCTTAATCTCTCTTTTCACCTATCCTTTTTCCTCCTTCATTCTTTGTATCTCTTTACTCTTCTTTTTAAATTCATGTGTAAGATGTGTTGAAGCTCTAGAAATAAAATTGAAATTCACTAGTACCTAGCTATAGCCCCATTAGGGATTAGATATTGAGATAAAGAAGGAACTAGCAGATTCTCTCCAAATGCATTGAGAGACTGAAACAGGTTTTTCTTGTCATTACTGTGTTGTATCTGTCTAATGTGTTTTACACTCCCTTCTCTGTCTAGACAGAAGTCAGCTTGCATCACAAATCTTTTCAGACTGTTTTGTGAATTAATAGCTAGTCAGCTTACTTAAGACCAACATCCGTTTGTCATATTACCTGCTCTGGCCTCTTTCTTTGACATTCTGACTTTATACTGATTGAATCCTTCAAAGGCTAGTCTGGGGCGGGGGTGGTATGGAGGGCACAGAACACTCATTTGACAGCTCTTAATACTCAGGCCCTTACTCAGCTGTCTGGAAGCAGCCACAAACTGTATTGAGTTACTTCTACAGCATTGTCTAATGGCATGCAAAATTAAAAATACTGTGTCTTGCTGGCTGGGAAATTATACACATAAAAATACGGTGCCTTGTATACTTTCAATATGAATCTCTGCTAACCAGTGCCACCCATCATCTTAGATCTTAGATCTTAGATCATAGAGTTCATGTTCTGATTCTGTGATTCAGAATGTGAAGTTATTTATCCTTGTTAAGTGTACTATAGTGCTGAGTTGTAGGAGAGCGATGGTAAGGAGGTTTGAGATCCCAGTAGATTGTCCATAGTTCAACGCTTAATGCAAGTCCAGGTTCAGATGGTAGGTTGAACAAAAGTGGGTTGTGTGAAGCCTGTGGTTCTCGAACCTGGGGCACCACACCAATTGACAGAGGTGCTGTTGTGTTTGACATTTTTGATGCAAACACAATGATACTCAATATCTGATAGATATAGCTACCAGCTTGAAATGGTTCAGAGTTTCAACATTAGAGCACCCCACATTCTTCTCTATGACATCATATCTTTTTGAAACTCAGTTTTTGATGTGTATGTGTCGATAAAAAGCAAGTGCCACATGAAAGTCAATGTGGAACGTGAAATGAGGCTGGCTGTGCCCCATCAGATCTCAAGAGCTCTGCAGTATGCAACAGATGCGTGCATTCATTAGTTAGTAATTGTGGTTATTTAAGAACAAAATAATACTTTTCTTTCAATTTATATGAATTTGTTTTTTCAAACAGTAACTAAATTGTTAAGACCTAAATACTTACATGTCCTTTCAAAATAACTAAATAAATGAAGCTGTTAGGGATATCTTTTGGCTTAGGAGCATCATAAACTATTACTGAGACACTAAGGGTCCCACGGACCAAGAAAGTTTGGTTTAATCTCTGGGGAGAGAGGGAAAGCTTTGAGGCACATTTGAGAGTGCACCAAAAAGAAAATTGAGTGACTCTTAGAATTCTAAATTCTCAATGCTCCTATTCCGAGTCTTCTGAACTGACCTTCTAGAATGCTGGCCTCGGAGCCTTTCCTTTCCTGGCAGAGCCTAAAGGACTCCTTTCTGGGCAATCTGAACATCCCATGAGAAAGGAAAATTGATACATGTGATACGGAAGTTTCTCCAACGAAGAAGCCATCCACATCACCATAGTGGTAGGGCCAAAGTTGGCAAGCTCCTCTGTCTTGCTCAGAGCTTCTAATTAACTCAGAACCATGTCAGACAAGAAGAGAGAAAAGACCTCTGAAGAAACATCTGTCATGGATGATACAGAAGAAAAGAAGCCGCCCTGAAAAGCAACTTGGATAAAACAGACTTGCAGAGAGAAGAAAATGTAAAAAC